TCTGTACTGCAGAAAACTTAGAGCACTACTTGGGCCGGAAGCCAGGCAGAGATGCTGCATGATGCTCCAACAAGGAGCAGAGCAACCGTAAGCCTTAAGTAAGAGTTTGGCTACCTTTAGGGTGCTTGCCTGTACTTCCCACAGTGACTGAAACCTTGTCTGTTAACATCATCATTATTATTATTATTATTATTATTATTATTATTATTACAGCATTTCTATGCTGCCCCTTGCCGAAGCCTCGGGGTGGCTTACAACATAATAAAATACATTGAAGTACAATAGAATGTAATAAATTACCTCCAATTACATAAATACAAAGAATATGCTGGGATACCCACATAATCATATAAAGTTAAAATTAACAGTATAAAATAAGTGAATAAAGAATATAGGAGGAGAATAGAGAAGGAAGAAGAAGTTGCCCTGGCCAGATTATATATTTTAACAAATAAAATGATGCTTAAATAAAAAGGTCTTTACCTGGCGCTGAAAAACAAGTAACGGCAGTGCCAGGCGGACCTCTTTGGGGAGTGAATTCCATAGGTTGGGCGCCACCGCAGAGAAAGCCCTCCTCCGAGTGCTTACTCTCCTAATTTCTTTCATGGAGGGTTCCCGGAGAAGGGACTCTCCCGCAGATCTCAAGGGGCGGTCGGGCATATACGGACGTAAGCGCTCGTTCAGGTAGCCAGGACCCAAGCCTGTTATAGGAGCCTCCAGCTGTGACAGCCGTGTCAGGCAGCTGCTTCCATGGCCAGAACATAAGGAGAGCAAAGTGACCTATTTTGGCAATAGAGATCATAAATAATAGTCCATGGTCCTCGCATGGGTCAGCAGGCTGGGTACCTCCTCTCAAAGCTGCTTTGCTCTTGCATGGGCAGGAATTGTTTGTTGCAGCTTCCTTGAGCCGGTAGATGTTTTGGACTACAGTTCCCAAAAACTCAATGGCTAATGGATGAGAATGATGGAACTGAAATCCAACCACACCTGGGGGCAACTACTTGCAAAAGAATGCCTAAACCCATTTCATCTTCCAGCGATGCATTTTCCCAAGGCTTTCCCTGGGAACTACTTTAGAAACATAGAAACAGAGCGAGTCAGAAGGGGTCTCCCGGGCCATCTAGTCTGACCCTGGCTCCAGCCAGCTCCGCTCACAACATGCCCACCATGTGCACGTCCAGCCTATCCTTGAACACCCGCACCGATGGGGCCTCAACCACCTCCCGGGGAAGCCCATCCCACACCCTCAGGGTCCTGACTGTCAGGAAGCGCTTCCTGGCATCCAAACAGAACCTTGGTCCCCTGAGCTTTGCTACTTTCTTGTTCCTGGGTGTCATTTGTTGGGAAAGCAGGGCTGTGTGTATTCATATGAGACAAGGCACAAGAGCGGTTCTATCTCCGAGTGCTTTCATACCACAGCCGGCACAGGGGACTGCAGTTAATTTCCAGGCAGATGTACAATAAAGTAAATTTAAACGGCTGCACGGGCACATTCCATGCTCACCAAAAAATTGGCCCTCAATTGCCAAGATGACTTGGAGTCATGCTGAGGGGAAGTTATCCATTGCTCCAAATAAGGATGGGGGAGCCAGCATTTGGGAGAGATCTGCCTTAGAGACAGGTGGAACCGCAAATTGGAGTCCTCCATACCCATATTTCAGATTATGCCAAGCCAACTGGAAAAGCAAAAGTGAGAAGGAGGCGGCTGTCCTGCTTTGGACTCATCATGAGAAGGCAAGACTCCCTGGAGAAGACTATCATGCTGGGTAAGTGAAAGGCAGAAGGAAAAGGAAGAACAAATAGGGACAGAAGAGTTTAGAAAGCTTTTTCATTCATAGGGGTGCGACAGATTGGAAATGACTTAGTGCGTAACTGCTACAAAAGGGGCTTCCAAAAAAGTCTCCCAACCATCCCTGGTTCTGAGCTCACACTTTCCAGGTTTGGGCACTCTGACAAACCAGAAGAACCACTTTAGCCAGATAAAGGAACCAACTCACTTCCCTGTGAAACAGCAACTCCTTTAAGGAATCCTCTGCTGCCCTCTACTGTGCAAGAAAGGAAGTTGCTCCCAGAAGTTTTATGAAAGGTTTCTTCATAAAAGGCATTGAACTGCCTTTTCTCCAAATTGCTGGATAGCTTGAAGAACCTGTTTTCTCTGGTGGCCCTTTACTTGAAGTTCTGAGCAGAACATTGGAATTTCCCCAAAAACCTGAGCCAAGATACATAGCTAGACAAGAATGGTATGGGGGAAACCCCCGCCCGAAATATAGTAAATGCAGATGAGAGAAGTGGGGGAGAATCTCAACATCATCCTCAAAGGAACTTTAATAAGACGCTACACCCTTTTCGCTGCACATGGAAATTCCTGCTGACTGTGAGAAAGAGTACAGACCCCAAAATGATCAATACTTTTGGGGAAGACCTTTCGCACTGCACACGCACCATCAACGAACATAAGAAATAAATCTTAATACAGCCATCAAAAAGCCTGACGTTCCAATAGGTTCTTCTATTAGAAATGCACTCATTTGCAAGCATCCAATACACCCTTGTCCTTGGTTTGTGAACACTGGACAAAGTTTAGTATCAGTACTGAAGAGAACTGAATCAAAAGTCCTGCACTTTGTAAGTTTCAGAGAGTTGCAGAGGGTAAAAATGCCACTTTGTAGTTAAAAAAGGAAGACAATGGTTTCTTTAGAATTACCTGCAGATCAAAAAATATACCCAGGTCAGTATTGTGACCCCTACAAATTTTGTATGATATGTGATCCCACCAAGAGGGGTAGAAGATAATTGAACTATCTTGAATTTTAAACATACTTTGAGCACCTAATGGCCTGCTGTACTCAAAGGATGCAGCTGTCTCTAAATATTGGTGAAGTACAGAGCAAGAGCTCTGTATTTACAGTATTTACTGAGCACCTCCCAGTACCTAATTCTGCCCACTTCAAGATGCTTCAGAAGCAGCTGAAAAACAATGATGCAGACCCATCATTGTGGGTGAGGTTGTGTTTTTGTTTTAAGGTTAACAATAAAGATAGGCCTCTGCTCTGAGGAGCATACAGTTTAAACAACACTTTCATGGAAGGCAGAAAGTGTGAAAGATGGAAAGGCGGGCAAAGACCAAAAGAGGAAAAGTTTGTTGGAACCTAAACATGCATTGGCTTCTTTTCCGAATGAGATGAAAACCACAGGGTTGGAACAGGAAAAGAGTTTCTAACCCCAGGGAATACGTTGCCAGCCAGGCAACCATCTCCCCAGCTTTGCAGATATTTCAAGACCACAGAATCAGGCAAGGACTCTTTTAAAAAGCCAGTCAAGCTCAGCCTATACCTGGCTGCAGTTCCTTCAACCCGCAGTGGCCCCTTGAAGCTGTCCCGGGTCCTACTCTTGCCTTCCTCTGCTTAACTGACATGAACTGACTACCAGCTTCCCCTGCAAACCCTTGAGCGAAACAGATAATCATCCAGTTATTGGGATCTTTCTATGAAGGCTTCACATAGGAATGCTCTCCCAGAAATGCAATGAAACATTATGTCCCCTGCTTTGTTGAGAAGGCAGTTAAGAAATCCCCATTAGACTGAGGTTTTGTCATTCATGCAAGCGTTGTGCAAGAGATTGTCCATTCTGTCACCCAGTGCCAGCTCTATAAGGATCCACATAAAAAAAGGTCTGACCCCTGGTGCATTTGCATGCTTTCTGTGGTTGGATAATTAAAATTACATTATCTTGCATGTGTCTTTTGTTTTTTTTTTTTCCTGGTAAGTAATGGCAGCCAGGAATACAAGAGCTAGATCTGGAATTCAGCTCTGTACCTTCTGCTTTGTTATGGTTATTTATTTATTTATTTATTTATTAAAACATTTTTATGCCGCCCCTTTCGCTGAAGCCTCGGGGTGGCTTACAACAATAAATAAAACCACATAATATATTATAGCAAAATAATAAAATTAACATTGTTCTGGAGACATTGTGGGGTGAAGTGGGATTTGAAGGAGAGAAATTTTGGGTAGTTGGAGGGGAAGTGGAGTTATCGGAGGGATCAGACCACCACCAAATGGCCAAGAGTGATGGTGTACGAAGAACTGAGGGCACCAGTACGAAGGTTTTGGAACAGAAGGTCAGGAGCATTTCCTTCACCCTCACTAGAACAGGCCTGGCACCCCATCACAGCAACAGAGAAGCTAAGGGGTTCAGGAGCTAAGGGGTCTTCTCATCCCCACCCCATCCTGAGGCGACTCAGTTGACAAGGTTGGTTGCTGTCACTCCCCACTCCCAAGAGAGACAGGTAGCAGTGCTGTAGCGGCCCCAGGACTCACAGGGATGCAGTACAAGCAATGCCTTGATGGCCAGGTTGCTGGTGTCACCTGCACAGGACCCTCAGCACGGTTTGCCCCTTCAGAGTTCAGCTGCGATCCTCACAGGAGAGGAAGGGGGTGCAGTTGGGAAAACTAATTCCCCAACATGGTCCCCTGCCAGGTACGTTGGGTGGCTCAGTCTGGAAGGGGAACCTGAGATGCGATTTCCTTAGCGAAGTCCTGCTCCCGGTGGACCAACCCAAATGCTCGCAACTGTGGACGTTCCTGACTGGGAAGCATCCAGACAAGAGCCTGCACTTTGCAGCTGACCATACACAAAGGTCTCACCTCAATCTATATGAGGGGGAGAGAGAGACTCTAGCCCAACTCAATGGTAGAGCATGGCATTATCAAAACAATTAAACCAAGCCGACCTTCCAATCCTGTAGCTACAAGTATTACAAGAATGCTAACGGACAGAGTAGTTCTGTTGACCAGCCTTTCCCAACCAGGTGCCTTTTGAATGCGTCAGACTGGAACTCCCAGCATGCTGGCTGGAATTTTAGTTGAACACATCAGGAGGTGGCCAGGATGGGGAAAGCGACGACTGCAAGTTGCTTGTGTTATTTATTGTTGTTTATATTTATTGTTATTTATTGATTGATTGATTGATTGATAAGAAGAGAAGGCATGCTTCCGCACCTGACTTATGCACATTCCGAAGGCAGGAGAGCGAAGCATTAAGCCGAGCACATTCTTCCCTGTTGGCCCCGAACTTCTCCACTGTTTCACAGACCTGCTCCTCTGTCATTTCCAGCAGGTCCTCCAAGTTCAATTGGCCTGGAGTGATTTCCTAGAAGATGACGACAGACAGACATGATGTTATAAAGAAAAGTCTTACTCTGCCAAATCAGATAGACAGACATCAGCTCCTGGAGGCCAACAAGCTAAGCCTTGCTCTTCCTGGGAGAGAGAATTTATCAGAAGAGGGCCTGAAACAAAAGGCTCCAGTGTGAGAGCTGCTCTGGAGGACTGCAAACAATCCTGACCATGCCCTGGTCCAACTCACTCTCCACCCACCTTCTAATTTTCTATCCTCATTCCTAAGAGTCACACAGTTCCTGAGCATTCTCGATTTTCCCATGGTTGTTACAGTGTCTACTCCCTTACGGGGCTCCTCCAAAAATGTATTTTGCACTTCCGCGGACTTTGAGTGGAACAAGGCCTTTTTGCTATCTAAGCCATGGCATTCCCAGCACGAAGGTCAGAAATAGAGGAGGTATAGGGATTGCTGCAAACAAGAGGCATCAGAAGATTGTTCAAAGCCATCATTATATCTATTGATAATGCACAGATCAATGCACAGTACTGAACTTGAGCAGTTCAGAGTGGTATGAATGGTGCTTTCGACCTTCTATGTTAGCCTCCCAAGCATCCCATGAGGTGGATTAAACCAGGGAAGGGCAAGCTGTTTTGGTCTGGGGGCCAGACTGCGCTCTCACTTGGACCAAGCCGGTGAACTACATCAAGCGGCGGAGGTCCCACATAAACTTCAGTGCCACGACCTCATCCAGCCCGACCAATCTTCCTTTCCTCTGCACCTCTTTCTAGAATAAGGAACTCCCTCTCATTCAACCCATGCCCGGTCTACAGGGACAATGCCCCACTTAACTCGCTGCTCTGCTAGCTACAGGAAGCTTCCCAGATCATCTGAACAGATCTGCAGGAATTAGCAGCAGTTCTCAGTCTGGTCCCCGAGTGAGGGTGAGCGTGCCCACACCAAGAATCAAGCCCCATGCATTAAACAAGCAGTGCCTCCGTGCCTTTCTGCTACCCTGCACTGATCCTAGGCTCATCTCAGAGCAGTCCTCTGGGAGCTTCCAGCAAGCGAAGTCAGATTGGTCGCTACTAAGAGGGCTATTTATGTTGTGACACCAAAGTACGGAATCAACTCCCCCTTGAGCCTTGCCGGGCACCTACATTGTACTCTTTCCAGGGGCAGGTGAAGACCTTATTTCCCAGGGATCTTAGCTCCAATGCAGGATTTAAAACAGATTTAATTTTAAATCTTTGTACTGCTGCTAGAGCTTACTTACATTTCTACTTCTATTTTAAGCTGTCTTTTATTTTTGAATTGTGGTCCTGCTTTATATTGCAAAGTGGTTTGGGTCAAGCATAGGCTATTCTATAATAAAGATGATGCATGTCCATCCATCTCACAGCACTTCAACCAATAAACCTAGACTCCTCCATTTTGAAGAGGGGACACAAGGGCAGTGCACTATGAGAAATGTCGGCCTAAGCTGGAAACTCTGGAGGGGTTTCCAACAGACTATACTGATTGGAAAGCAGGGCTATTGCACCAACCATGCTAAAAGGCTTCATTCTTTCCTCTTCCCTCCCCATTCCTATTTCCTTGCATGCTGCATCTTTTAGGTCATAAGCCTTCAAGCAGAGATCACCTTCTTTTTGCAGAATAGAGAGAGAGCCTTCACTCACCTCCATGACTTCCTTGCGGATGTTGACAATGCGGAACCAGTGCAGAAGCTGCGGGAATCCCTCCAGCTTGGCATTGCGTTCCTGCAGCGCTACTTTCCTCTTGCAGGAGAGCTGGCGGCTGAAGTATTTCACCAGCTTGCTCTGCAGGGAAGGGATGAGAGAGAGAGATGAGATGGGAGGAGCTGGGCAGCTGTCCGTCAAAGCAGACCCCACCTTTTTACTGACAGGCCTATCCTCAGTCTCCCCTCTAAATGCACTGACAGACTTCAGGAGCATACACAAAGTTTGCTTGTATCATTGGGTGCATTCGTTATTTTTTGTCCTGTGGGCTGGAGGGGTGGGCAACCCAACCTTGGACTGCATTTCCCCAAACGCTCCGCCATCAGGCATGCTGGCTGGGGCTGATGGAATATGTAGTCCAAAGCATCTAGAGCCCAGCCCACCTCTGCTCTAATGGCCCCCAGTGCTCCATCCTGCCAACACGTATTGCCACCCTCGTGAAGTCCCTTTGCAGAAAATCACCTTGGAAAGAAGATCGAGCATCGCGGCGAGGGTCTGCAGCCCAGAAAAGGTGCAACAGGCAAGCAAAAGGGTGCGCATCTTCAAGTATTACAAGGGCTGCTACTGAGGGAAAGGGGAAGTGTGCTCCTGGTTCCTCCAGAGGGCAGGAGTTGAGCCTATGCGGCTCAGGAGACCAGAAACCCACTTCTACCAAGCTTTAGGAAGGTCTTCCTGCCAGTAGGATCTGTCCAGACACACTTCAGATGCAGTGGGTTCTGCTTTATTATCGGATTTTAAGAAAAGGTTCAATAGGCACCCGATGTCGGACTTTAGGTACCGTGGAATGTGTGTTACACACAGTCCTAAGGAAAAAAACCCCGATTGCCTTTATACAACTTAGGAAGCAACCGAAAGCACGCAACCCACCAAGACCATTCCTGTTTCCCAAATACTGCAAGAACTCCCGCTTGGGTCATTCCAGTGCCGCACTCTCAGGAGCACCTCCAGTGCCTGTAAGGCTCCACACACTCGGAGGTTCCAAGCTATCCTGTTCTGAGTGTGAAGATCAGCAGGTTGCCCATCCATCAGAAGGGGCAATTCTAAGATCGCTGCCCTGAGTCAGTCCGTATGGTCTCTGGTATCCTCTCCCCATCCAACATTCTGGGCTCTCAGGTTTGTCTGTATCGATCCGAAGCCCTCTTAGGCTGCAATCAGTCTGTCCTTAAAGGTGCCGCAAGGCTCCGCCATTACTGCAGCAAAAAGGACCTCTCACTCCCAGAAGCCAGAGAAATTGTTTCCACAATCTAGCTGAAGGACCCTGCGGGGTGAGAGGAAGGAGGTCAGTGTTCCCCCCGTCCTGCCCACTGACTGATCCCAGGTTGGTTTTGCTCACTGGCTGCAATAGGGCTGGGGGACCAGACAGCAGAGCTCCAGCTGGAGCCATAGGGGGCTAGGTTCAAAGAGGCTGAAGCCCCCTGCAGGATGGCACTGTGAGTGAGCTTCTTCAGCTCAATGCGACCCAGATGAGCTGAAGTAGAATGCCCATTTTCTGTGCTCCTCCTCCAGTTCCACGAATTGTGTTCTGTGGTGGCCTGCTCTTACCTACCCAAATCCGGAGCTTGGCACAATGTCAAAGTAAATGGATTTGCTGCACCATGCTCAAGGATTACTGTTAGAACACCTGAAGGCCAAACAATCAGCTTCATCAACACTCTGGCTCAAGGCCTTGATGAAGCTTTCAATGCATATTCTAAAATGCATGTTAAACAACACTTTTTCCAACATATGCAAGATCAGAAATGTGCAGATGTGTTTGTGAAAATATATTCACATTTAACAAAGCAGGTGGAGCCAAGAGAAAGTCTGCAACTGCTCATGGAAGTCCGGCTGCACAACCAGCAACCTTCTTCCGCAATCTGTGGAAGGCTGCTGGTCCTGGGCATGCCACTGCAATGCCCACTTCCAGGTGGGCTCCCGCACAAATGCCCCTCATGCTTACCAGGAAGTCAGACTCGTGGCTTCAGGAAAGCTGGCCAGAGTGCAGAGGGCCAAGTCCGGGAACTCCAACAGAGGCCCCCCTCCACACCAGATTCCTCATACGTGCCTACCCCCCAGATGTCCCCAACCATCAGTTCCTTGTAGAGCTGGAAACACAGGAAGCTGCCTTAGATGGGGTCAAAACATTGGTCTATTTAGTTCAATATTGTCAACAGCAGGGGTGAAGAACCTCAACCTCTGAGGGCCACCTAAGGGACCAAGCCCACCATTTATGGTTCCCTAGATGGACACCTTGATTTCCCCTGACCACCAACTGTTTGTGGCACACCAGCTTGTGTGCAGTTTTCTCCCTGTTCTGAAGTGCTGAAACACCTCCCCAGAACCTTCTATTGCTAGGCCTATCTTAAAATCCTTAAGCTAAAGCAAGCTGGTATTTTGGGCCTCCTCTTCTGCCTTGGATCCCAGCCACCACTCAGCTCAGATGTGGCTCCAGAAAGCTTGTCCAAACTGGAATTTGGCCACTGGGTTGAATGAGGTGGAGCAATGATAGGAAGGGACTCTTGATGCTTCCGAGTGGTGAATCTTCCCAGCCCTGCACTGGAGTTGGGGCGAAGTGAAAGAACAGAAGGAAGTAGATTTCATGCAAAAACACTCATTACAATTTGGAAAAATAAATCATCCCATTGCTACATTATGTGAGGTGTAGATCTATCATTGCATACAATCAGATTCAGCTCCCCATTCAGCAGGGAAGGTGGCCAGGGCCAAGTGGCCTTCCTTTAACCTTGCCTACCTTGCAAGGGTGTAGAGGGTAAACCACGGCTGTGAGCTCCGGGGAAGCAGACTGCATCCAACACACATGTACCATATGGGGGGAAATGTAAATAAGCTCTCCAACAGGTGCAGAGAGATCCAGTACCTTCTAGAAATATCCCACATTTTATTTAATCTTGTTTTGAGATTATTGGGCCTGATCCAGACCAAGTTCTGCTTTGAGCAGACCCACTGAAATCAACAGACTTCCCATGCAGCACTTAAATCCAGCTGATGTTAAGGACTAGTCGTGATTCAAGCGGCACCTTGAATGTTTACAGGCCCAACTAGATCCATTCACAGGCATCTGAATACTGAGGATGCTCCAGCAGGGCTTAATTAAACATTCACCCTCCCTCAGCTGCAACAATTCACAGGCAATATGTTGCTAACCCTTTCCCACCACATCTCCTCCTTTTT